TTCCCGCAAGTTACTTACCTCGAACTTCGATTACTAAAAAAAAAAAAAAAAACACCACCAAAATCCAAATAGCAAGACATTGATACTAAATCAACTTAGAAGTACATGGGTAAGCAGTTCAAGGAAAGGATTTGTTTTACAGTCCCTTATCAGTTACATATCTTCCCTCTACATTATCTCTCACCAGACCAGAACAGGTAGTTCCCTAAACTGCTTCTAACAAGGGCAGTTACGAAGTGAACCTACTTACTTTTAGCAAAGTCAGTCAATAATGTATAGCACCTGGCATTCAAGTCAGAATACTTGGTGTGGAAAACATTCTTTTTTGAGCTTGTACTCCCCATTCATACATCTCTCTAATATTTATCTAGTGGGAATTAAACAGGTAACACAAGTTTAATTAGTTTTGCTGTAGCTATAAGAAGAAACTAAATTTCACAGTTGCACGAGGGAAATGCATCTGTGCAGTACAATGGTTCCAGTACAGCGCGTATTTTCTTACCTGGGAACACCGCAGAATACACCATGTTCCGCTCACGCAGAATTTCCAGAGGGAAAGAGTATTTGCTGGATGTTAGTAGAGCAAGTAACCTCACTGCCAGAGCTAATCTATGCACATCCTCTCCTTTCTAATCCGCAGAAACCTAACCTTAGAACTACTCATTACCAGGGAGAGGAGAACAAATCCCTTTAACCCTTTTCTTGCATAAAAAGCCTACTTTAAGTTGTCTCTCACTTAAGTAGTTTCTTATTCTTAGCAACTTTCCCAGTGCGCAGGGCACTCATCACAATTCCAATGAAAATCTGTAATTCCACAACATTGATCTGTTGCTGGTTACAGGATTTCTGCTGCAGCACAAGAAATATCCAGCTTTCAATTTCAGGAAAAAAAAGAGGCAAAGAAGATGAGAAAAAAAAGAAATTACCATGAAGCAATACAGACTGAGAACTCCTGCAGGTTAACTCATTTCTTTAGCTACAGAAATCAAAGCTGGTCTGTACTGATTTCCTAATGCATCACAGCCCACGTAGGCTGTAAAGTGGAATCTGTGTCAGAAGCACATTTAATCCTAGGATTCTCTTCAGCTAATAACCAGGCTATATATCAGAAAGACCAAAAATAATCCAGGCCAGGCTGCCGGCTTCCATTAATCAGCAAGCTAAATTCATGTGCGATATTACTACTTTTTATAAGAAACTCTGTGTGTGTGCGTGTGTATATACGTACGTAAAGGCAGATATAGTCTTTGGTATTTACTTCTCAACTTTGCATCATTCAGCGAACGAAGTTAAACTTTTGAAGTTACTACATGTTTGTTAGATACACCTCCTTCTTAAAAGATTGTAGAAAAACTTACCATCTCTAGTGACATTCTCAGTTTAAGGCACAGAATCTGTGGGAGTAAGGTCACATGAAGCAAAGCTCTTTGTGTGTTAAAGCTGAAGAGTGAAATCCTTCCTTTCTTCCAAAACAACTGAAGACAACAAACACTGGCCCTGAACAGTTTCAGGAGAAAAAAATATTAAAACCTGTTTTTATTGATTACACTCCTACAAAATGTGAAATAAGTCCTGAATTCAGATCTTTGCAGATTAAAATTATTGACATTGCTTTACTCAACTGTTCAACACAGCTCCTTTTCAAAGAGCAGTTCTGCTCCTACAGTTTCAGTTAAACATTTTTGGTACATTGAGTTCTAAGAGGTGATTGCATGGAAAGACTGCATTGAGCACAAAAGATCAAGCATTCAAATGTTAGAACTGTCAAAAAGATTAAGTGTTTGAATGTTGGAAGTTCTGAGTGTTGGAATAGGGGGATACAGGCTGTTCAGGAAGGACAGCAGGGGAGACCAGGAGAGGGTGTCACCCTCTATGCCAATGACGAGCTGGAGTGCATGGAGCATCACCTGAGCACAGATGAGGAACTGGACTCCATGATCCCGAGGGTCTCTTCCAGCCACAATAATTCTGTGATTCTGTGAAAGCTCATGGGTCAGGGTTAAAGGGAGGGCAGGGATGGCAGGGACAGGTGATGTTACAGTGGGGGTCTGCTACAGGCAACCCAACAAATGAGGCCCTCTACACACAGATAGGAGGAGCCTCAGATTCACAAGCCCTGGCCCTCATGGAGGACTTTATGTTGGAGGGACAACACAGGAGGGCATAAGCAACCAGGAGGTTCCTGGAATGCATTGATGACAACTTTCTTCTCCAAGCGAGTTCAGAGGATGGCAATAAAGGTGATCAGAGGGCTGGAACACCTCTCCTATGAAGACAGGGTTATATGTCCTGATATTATTCAGTGTAATTGAAAAATAAGATTAAGCTAACAAAAAAATCACTTGCAAACACAAAGCCTATTATCTCTATTTTCTATTATCTCTATAGTCTATTGCAAGTATAACAAGTATAACAATAGTTTTAAACATCATGTTGCCAGAATTACTTTCCCCTTCTCTGATAAAACTAAAAATAGTTTCAGAAAGACCAATCTTTTTTATTTTATTATGAAAATTGCTACATTACAGTCACTGTTCAAAACAGTATTTTGACATATGGTTTCTTTCCATTTAGGTGCCAATACCCAAGCCATGATTACTATTTCAAAAATATGATTAGCATTATCTATGGTAGTTTGCCACAACTTAAGCCATTATAATGTTCTATAGTTTATTCCTCCCTCCCCCTTTTTTGAGTCAGCCATGGTAAAGAACAGCACCTACAATACCCAAATTATCCATGAGTGTTATTTATATAAATAAAGTTAACCATAAACCACAGAAGAACACACACACACGCATGAAAATCCCCCAGGGAAATTACTTGTTCTCTACATGATCAAAAATGCAACAAGGTTAGCATTTCTCACTCTGACACATAAATTAACAGGCAAAAGTCTCAAAACCGATCCATTGTCAGTTTGTTCAAGAGCACATTCCCACTCTCCTGTCACATGGGCTTCCAAATAATGTGTCTGTCCTCAGACCTCAGGGTAACGCAACTGAACGCTACAGATTTTGAGTATTTTACTCAGTGCCAAAATTCAAAGTGGTCAGTGCCTTTTATTTATTTCATAAACAGAAAGAATGTTGAATGCCTTTAATAACTCCAGTAAACAGGGAAGCCCATAACAGTGTGATTATTTCCACAGCATCACATTAATACTGCATTCAGCAATCCTGTTCAACAAATATGCCTCAAAACCTTTACAGCCAAACACATTATAGGTTACCCATTATAAATACTAATATATTTCTATTTTTTAAATAAACAAACATAATAGCTTAATTCAGGAAGACTGAATGGTTCTGTGGTGCAATTAATTCTCATTAAACGACTCTGCTGACAAACCAGGAATAATAAAAACAAACCCACTGCTTTAGAAGCCATGCGGTCCAGACTTTCACATGTACTCTATGTAGATGCCATGCCTTTTTGCAGCGTTTTTAACTGAAAAGTAGTAAATGATATTTCTTTTAGAATAGGAAATGATTTCTTCTTGGCAAGTACTTGACAAACCAAGTCTTTTGCTTCATCACCACTTCATAGATAGCTTCTGGCTGCAGTTTCCCAATCTTAAAACTGAAAGTTCAGAAGAAACAACTGAATATTTTAATCTGTAACAACGGAACTGTAATAGAGTCTTTTCTAAGTGCCATTTCAGGAAAGAAAGTGGGTTTTAGTGAAGTTCCACTGAGTAGATTATCCCACAGAGTCAGGTTGTAAACGATGGTCTAGGTAAGCTTTTCATGTTGAATCTGGTAGTAACATGCCTGAATTAAAACAAAGTTCAGTTTAGCACACATACCAGTTCCCAGCAAGCTGATAAAGCATCACACACAACTATCTATCCAAGAAAACAAGACTAGGCTTTCTACAAGCAGTGATGATACAGTGACACTCAACACATGAGAATCTTCTGATATGTAAACTAGAAGAAACATCAACAGGAGACTTTAAGTTTCGAATGATGTCCAATTCTTAATGAAGTAAGACAGGGTACGGGACTCTGAATACTTCCAGAGCTCCCAGCTTGGCCAAGATAAAGTACATTTTTTTGCTCACAAATCTTTCTTTGCCCTTAGACAAGAGGACCGAAAAGATAAAATATTTTCTTACAGGACAAAGATGCAGGGATTAAGCATTGCAAAAGCACTCAGACTGAAAAGCAAAGGTTTCTGTAATCTGGATAAAAAACCCAGCCTGCTGCTTGATAGCTGTTCACTCCTTAATGCTGGTTTAAATACACATTGGGTCAGCCATGACCAAAACTTAATATAAATGTCTCAGACAGCACTGCGCTCATGGAAAAGAAGACTCTACTTCTACTACATAGATTCTTTGATAATTTTTAAACAACTTAAACCATCCCTTTTTGCAGCACTATAAAAATAACAGGTATGAAAAAACCTCTGCACCCAACTATTTCCAGTTTGCACAGACAGAAAATATGATCATGTTCACCTAGCAGCTCAGCTTAAGATTTTTATTTAAATCTCAAGTTAAAAGCCACCCTCCAAAACAACCCCACAAAAAAGCTCCACGCAGCTGAATTGTCACAAGACCCACCTTTTTGAACAGCTTTGAGGTACTAAAACAACCTATTTCCACTATGGAGGTCCTAGTGTACAATAGGATATTCGTCAAACCAGATTCTCTCCCTTTTTCTGTACTTAAAAAGAGAATACTACTAAATAGAATGTGGGGAGTGACGCAGTAAAAAGACTTTTTTTTTCAGAATTTAATTCCTGAAGCATCTTGATGTAATGTTAGACTTAAACGTTATTGGAATGGCTAACCTCCAAAGCAGCACTCCATTCCAATTTTTATAAAGGAAATAACGCTTGTTATGTTGCAGGGGAATGACAAGCCACAGATGAGCATTCACAACAGTCAACAGCAACCAATATTACATTTGAATAAATACATTTGCACATCGCACCATTTTATTAGCAGCACCTTAGGTTATACTAAGCTCTAAGTTTTCTTGCTCACCCTAGCTAGAAACTTTCAATAAGTCAAAGTAGTTACAAACTAATGTTCATACAATTGTCCTAACCTGAGCATCATTATTCAAAGCTGATTAATTTCCAAAGAAAGCTTTTGATAGCCCTAAAAAAATTTTCATACCTTCAAGGTAGTGAACATGATGCCTTGCTCTCCATGCTGCAGATAAGGATCCATCAAGTCCTCGATTAAGTGCACCTCAGACCCCAAATTCCTTATCCTGTCACATGGTGGAGAGAAAGAGAATAAGTGCAAAAGATACCATTATAATGTTTTTACTTTTTGTACATGGTGTTATGCAAAAGCCATACTTTCCCCTAATCTCATTCTGAGGTGACAGCCATTTCACAGTTAACTATTCAAAATTTTTTCAGGCCAAAGCAAACAGGCAAACCAAAAAATTTACTAAGTTACAAAAAGCCAGCAAGTAGTCCTGTAAGGAGAAGCAGGAGCGCTTAATACAGGTAAAAGTATGCTCATGCTGCCTATGCTCAGCTTGTAACTAATGCCACTCTTGATGCCTACCTGGCTCGTAGCACCACATAGAGAAAAACAGGAAATAAGTCATCCATGGACCACAGAAAATCTTCCTGAAGAGTCTCAAGAACATTCTGAGAGATCTCTTCAAAAGTCTGCTGGATCACCTTCAACTTGTCAGCTGGGGTAAATGTGGTGCTGTTTGGAGAGCAAAACAGGGTAACAATAAGAAATTCCAAATCTGCATCTAAATCAGGAAGACAATTTGCTACTTAGCATGTCCCCTTGCCCACAGTCACACCACAACAGCCATGGCTGCCAAGGCTGTGTAGTACCCCAGGCTATAATTACTGGATCAAGGTACACTACTGCAAATGAGACTGTCTTCACAGTTTTAAGATGTTTTAACATGGTAAAGGGGGATAAATTAACTTCTAAAACCCTTTTAATTTCTACTTATGATTCCTACTGCAGAATTCCTTGTCAGCTAACAGACACAGAAAAGCTCCCCATACACAGGTCATTTCCCCATAACTGTTTAGAAATTCACATGTATTAGGCATAAGGATTAGCCATCCTCATGCTTTTGATTCTGAATGGTCTCCTATGGACACACCTTTGTCACATTTATGAGGCTATACTTCATTCCTCATTGGGAGAATTTGCTAACATTTTGAGTAGGAACTCTGAAACTTCTTGGTGACCTCTTACAAAGGAGAACAAAGAAAAGGTGACAGGTAAAGGATCACAACTGAGTAAACTAGATACTACTACAGCAGGAACAGTAAAACACTAAGACAGATTTCAGAGAATTACCTGATTTGCTGTAAACATTCAACTGCAGAGGCAAAGCAGGCATCTTTTGTATTTGATGATACCTGTGTAATCATAAGATTTATCACGCAGGTTTAACAGCTCCACTCCACAGCAACAAAGCAGTGTATCATGCAACACTGACATAAAAGACTTTTTTTTCCAATTTTTCAGTGCAAAGAAAGGGCTATGTGCCCAGACGCTAAAGTCATCCAGGAAATCTGCGTTATGTGTGATT